AACTGAGAGTAACCCATGACAATATACCAGTGAAAATAACTCCAGGTGGTCCTCACCTTACCATGGGTTATGTTCTGATAAATACATCATTAATAAAAATGAATATGAATAGGATATGCTAAATAAATAAGCAAATAAGTAATTACTGTCACTGAATAAACAAATAATTATTGCAACTAACTAAATACCAGAACTGAAAAGTCAATAAATGAATACAAGTTAGGGACTTGCTGCCTTCATGATGGCTAATTATCTTAAGTTGTCTCTCCAAAGTTATTGTTTGTGTAACATAACAGTTGAAATACCCTAAGTCAAACCTTTGTAATGTTGAAATATCCTAAGATGAACCATGGTAAGTGGAGCAGCACCTGTATCTCACACAACTACAACACAAAGCTACAATTCTTACCTATACAATAGTTTTTATCAAGTTCACTTGTTATTGTTGTAGTATTATGAAGAGAAAATAGATTACAAACAAGACAAGAATTTATTTATCTATTATACACATTTACAAACACTGAAATTTAATTCTGAGCATATCTGAGTTTTCAAAGATCTTGTTACTCATCATTGGCAATATTCATCAGTCAATCCCTTTTTAAATATATGAATTATATTTCTTGTAAATATAAGATTTAGTGTTGCAAAATGACTCCATCACAATTCAATGTTTCTTTAACTTTCATTGTTTAACCCTTTGACTGTTTCAGGCCCCTCTCTGAAACTGTCATTCTATGTCGCCAAATATTCAAAAAAAAAAAAATTATTTTTTCTTATGAAAATGTTAAGATTATTTTTCTGAGTGTTTTAGTCCAAAAAAAATTTTTGCCATCGGTACTTACCGAGATATAGAGCCGTGAAGTTTGCAGAAAATGAGCCGCGTATGGCAACAGTGGCGACTGCCGCTCACCCGGTAAACTTTAGTTTACTTGTAATTGAAGGTTTTTTGTTTTTTTCACTATTTTATTTTTTCACATAACTTATGTGGCCTATGAGACCAAAGTAAGGTGCAATGTACATATATACACTCGTTGTATACAACACAATAAGCACACAAACATAATTATCAATATATTGTTTACAAAACTTGTTTACAAAAACAAACAAACAATCATCCTCCTCCTCCTCCTTCTCATCCTTCTTCTCCTCCTCCTCCTCCTTCTCCTTCTCCTCCTCCTCCTCCTCCTCCTTCTCCTTCTCCTCCTCCTCCTTCTCCTCCTCCTCCTTCTCCTCCTCCTCCTTCTCCTCCTCCTTCTCCTCCTCCTCCTTCTCCTCCTCCTTCTTCTCCTCCTCCTTCTCCTTCTTCTCCTCCTCCTTCTCCTTCTCCTCCTCCTCCTCCTCATCCTCCTCCTTCTCCTCCTTCTCCTTCTCCTCCTTCTCCTTCTCCTTCTCCTTCTCCTTCTCCTTCTCCTCCTCCTCCTTCTCCTCCTCCTTCTCCTCCTTCTCCTCCTTCTCCTCCTCCTTGTCTTGTGTGCGAGTGTGTGGCTTATAATTGTTTTGAGTCAGAAGTCGGCAGCTGTCAAAGTGACATATTGTCTCATTAGTCACTACCCCTACTGCCTGTCAAAACAATGGGGTCGGATGCTGCTTCCCCTCCTCCATTCTATCTAATTATCTTTCTCCCTCATTCTATATCTTTCAATCTGTCTCTCTTTCTATCTGTCTGCCTATCTCTGTCTCACAGGTACACATAAATACAAGTATACATAGTGTAAATTACCTAGGATAACCCAAGAAATCCAGACAAAGTGCTATACTCTGCTTGAAGATGTGAGTAAACGTGATGACACAGTCTTGTGGCTCTCTCTGAGACAGAGAGCTAGATGGACAGACAGGGAGCTTGACAGACAGACAAATAGACAGACAGAAATGTTTGTGTACCAGCAAAAACAAAGGGAGGGCGATGGTCATGTAATATTACCCTCCTTTACGCTCATCAAAGTCAGCTCTTATCAGATGTTATCTCCCCTTATCTTGTCACTGTCATGGGGTGGACTTTTTTTTTCTTGCTTCAAGGGAACAATATTATTACATCTTCTTCTTCCTCCTCCTCCTCCTCCTCTTCTCCTCCTCCTCCTCCTCCTCCTCCTCCTCTTCCTTCCCTCCTCCTCCTCCTCCTCCTCCTCTTCCTCCCCTCCTCCCCCTCCTCCTCCTCCATTGCTTTTGGTCTCAAACTCCTCCAAATCATGAAATTGATCTTCACTGACACTTCCATCTGTGTTAGAGCATCACTTGGGAAGAGAAGAGTCCCAGATTTGCTGGGGAATCACATATTTCTTACCGCTAGACATGCTGAAAAATGACAACTGAAATGGCATTCCCACAATGCACCACTGGCTCCCCGATTTTTTTTATATGGTGCACACTGACCATGGAGACCCATTCTCTCACATGTGGGCCTACCAGCTTTCTCCTGCTTGATTTGAAGCTGCTAGAATTTATGCGTATAAATACGTCAGAAACATTGGCTCGTAAGACGTATTTATACGTCGGAAACAGTCAAAGGGTTAACTTAACTAATATTCTAATACAGTGGTACCTTGACTTACGAGTGCCCCAACTTACAAATTTTCCAAGTTACGAGCCATAGCTCAGTAAATTTTTTGCTTTGAGTTGCGAGCCAAAATCCGAGTTATGAGCAAGCTTCAGATACGCCGCTACTCACAGGAGATACCGAGGAAATATCAAAAACCTCAAAAACCAATGTGTAACATCCTTTCAATTTTAACCCTTTGACTGTCGCAGGCCCCTTTCTGAAACTGTCATTCTATGTAGCAAAATATTCGAAAAAAAAAATTATTTTTTCTTATGAAAATGTTAAGATTATTTTTCTGAGTGTTTTATTTTTTTTTTTTTATCACACTGGCCAATTCCCACCAAGGCAGGGTGGCCCGAAAAAGAAAAACTTTCACCATCATTTACTCCATCACTGTCTTGCCAGAAGGGTGCTTTACACTACAGTTTTTAAACTGCAACATTAACACCCCTCCTTCAGAGTGCAGGCACTGTACTTCCCATCTCCAGGACTCAAGTCCGGCCTGCCGGTTTCCCTGAACCCCTTCATAACTGTTACTTTGCTCACACTCCAACAGCACGTCAAGTATTAAAAACCATTCGTCTCCATTCACTCCTATCAAACACGCTCACACACGCCTGCTGGAAGTCCAAGCCCCTCGCACACAAAACCTCCTTTACCCCCTCCCTCCAACCTTTCCTAGGCCGACCCCTACCCCGCCTTCCTTCCACTACAGACTGATACACTCTTGAAGTCATTCTGTTTCGCTCCATTCTCTCTACATGTCCAAACCACCTCAACAACCCTTCCTCAGCCCTCTGGACAACAGTTTTTGTAATCCCGCACCTCCTCCTAACTTCCAAACTACGAATTCTCTGCATTATATATTCTGAGTGTTTTCGTCCCAAAAAAATTTTTTTTGCCATCAGTACTTACCTAGATATAGAGGCGTGAAGTTTGCAGAAAATGAGCCGTGTATAGCAACAGCGGTGACTGCTGCTCACCCGGTAAACTTTGGTTTACTTGTGTTTGAAGGTTTGTTGTTTTTTTTCACTATTTTATTTTTTCATGTAACTTATGTGGCCTGTGAGACCAAAGTAAGGTGCAATGTACATATATACACTTGTTGTATACAACACAATAAGCACACAAACATAATTATCAATATATTGTTTACAAAACTTGTTTACAAAAACAAACAATACAAAAAAATGTTTTTTACTATTGTTCTATAATATATTTACCAATGTACAGTCACTGAACATATTCCTAAAAGTTCTGCAGCTTATGGAACTCTTTGAAACATGTTTTCATACACAATGGTGTTTTAAACTCCTCACACATAAAACCAGTGTGTGTGCATTTTTGTGGACTTTTTTTTTTATGTGCAAAGACAAAACACCTCATCTGAGCAGTTTTCTTCAAAGTATTTGCAGGCAGTTGTGTTATGTAGTTATCCTAAATAAACGGTTGTGTGTCATCATTCCTACCTTCCTGCATTCCTTTCCTACCTTCCTTCCTACATTCCTTCGTCTTTCCTTACTTTTTTCCTTCCTTTCATCTCGTCCTTCCTTCATTCCTGCCTTCCATTCTTCCTTCCTTCTGGTTTCTATAATATATATACACATATATAGTCACTAGATACTTTCATATAACTGCTATTATCTTCATTCAGCAAGCTTGTCTTGTGTGCAAGTGTGTGGCTTATAATTGTTTTGAGTCAGGAGTCAGCAGCTGTCAAAATGACATATTGTCTCATTACTCACTTCCCCTACCGCCTGTCAAAACAATGGGGTCGGATGCTACTTCCCCTCCATTCTATCTAATTAACTTTCTCCCTCATTCTATCTCTTTCAATGTCTCTCTTTTTCTATCTGTCTGTCTATCTCTGTCTCACAGGTACACATAAATACAAGTATACATAGTGTAAATTACCTAGGATAACCCAAAAATCCAGACAAAGTGCTATGCTTGAAGATGTGAGTAAAGGTGATGATGACACAGTCTTGTGGTTCTCTCTGAGGCAGAGAGCTAGACAGATAGACAGGGAGCTTGGCAGACAGACAGAAATGTTTGAGTACCAGCAAAAACAAAGTGAGGGTGATGGCCATCTAATCTTTTCTTATCAGCTGCACCCTCCCCCACCCTTGTTTACGCTCATCAAAGTCAGCTCTTATCAGATGTTATCTCCCCTTATCTTGTCACTGTCATGGGGTGGACTTTTTTTTTTCTTGCTTCAAGGGAACAATATTATTACTTCTTCTTCTTCCTCTTCTTCTTCCTCCTCCTCTTCCTCCTCCTCCTCTTCCTCCTCCTCCTCCTCCTCTTCCATCTCCTCCTCTTCCTCTTCCTGCTCATCTTCCTCCTCTCCTCCTCCTCCTCTTTCCTCCTCCTCCTCTTCTCCTCTTCCTCTTCCTCCTCCTCCTCTTCCTGCTCCTCATCTTCCTCCTCTTCCTCCTCCTCCTCCTCCTCTTCCTCCTCCTCCTCCTCCTCTTCCTCCTCCTCCTCCTCCATTGCTTTTGGTCTCAAACTCCTGGAAATCATGAAATTGATCTTCACTGACACTTCTATCTGTGTTAGAGCATCACTTGGGAAGAGAAGAGTCCCAGATTTGCTGGGGAGTCACATATTTCTTACCGGTAAGCATGCTGAAAAAGGACGACTGAAATGGCATTCCGACAATGCACCACTGGCTCCCCAATTTTTTTTTATATGGTGCACACTGACCATGGAGACCCATTCTCTCACATGTTGGCCTACCAGTTTTCTCCTGCTTGATTTGAAGCCCCTAGAATTTATGCCTATAAATACGTCAGAAACAGTGGCGCGTAAGACGTATTTATACCGCGTAAACAGTCAAAGGGTTAATACCCCTGGTAGTGTCATCCTGCCAGAATGTTCTACAATGTATGCCGTAAGTAAAGAGAAACAATTCTGGAACATGTGTAATACATGTTCGGCAGACTGGCTGGTTGGGTGGCCAGCTGGCTGGTTGGGTGGCCAGCTGGCTGGTTGGAGGCTGGTTGGCTGGCTGATTTGCTTTGGATGTCTCTTATCTCCTTCTGTCTGTCTGTATCTATCTCTGTCTCTATCTCACAGGTTCACATAAATACAGTTATACATAATGTACATTACCTAGGATAACCCAAAAAATCTAGATAAAGTGCTATACTATGCTTGTATATATAAGGCATGATAAGCATGATTGGCAAGTAATACAAATTTTCACTTGTTCAGGAATCATGTGACGACTCTGCATCTGTGTGTGTAATACCTGTTGGTTCATGAGCAGCTCTCTCTGAGACAGAGAGACAAGTAGAGACACAAGAAGACAGAAAGACCAATAAGCAGAGACAGAGCCAGACAGACAGACAGACAAATAGATAGAAACAGATAGACAGACATAATTATGTTCAGTAGTGAAAAATATAGCCAAGGCAATGCACGATCATCAAATGTCACTCTATTGCTGCAATGTCAGCAGTGGAGTGACACTCATCTTACACTGTGCTTCAAGGAGTTTCATATATACTCCAGCATTTCTAAAACATTGCTGGGACCTGGCAAAAAAGGCAAATATACTTTCTTATTTATAAATACATTTTTCTTATTTAAAAACCTGTAACAAAAAAACTGGGGCATTTTTTGGGGGGCTGGAACAGATTAATGGCATTTCAATTAATTTCAATGAGGAAAACTGATTTGATATATCGAGCAAATTGAGTGACGAGCTTGGTCATGGAACAAATTAAACTTGTAACTCAAGGTACCACTGTATGGGTAAGTAACTGATTTGTGATTGTGATTTACTGAACATAATACATGAACATTTTATGAATAAACCAAATTTAAGTCATAATAAATGACTGTCAATGAATGAACAGAAAGAAGAGGACGTATTAATCTGGGGACCACAGTTCAAGCCTTACATCCACCTTACTCTTTATTCATTTTATGTTTGAGTTCACAGGATGTTAATCTCCAACTCATGACTCACAAAACTGTAATTAAACAACTGCAAACAAACCAGCTAATGGGTAGGACTCAAACCTATGGAAATGAGTTCAATGGGTTTAAAACTCAACTGTTCCTAGGTTTATTTTACTATTGTACTGGTTTTTATGATGTTAATGTATACATAACATACAGTGCAACCTCAGTTTTCATATGCCCTAGTTTGTATGTAAAACTATAGTTATTCTCTATAAAATGTATTTTTTTTTAATATTTCCCATATGAAATAATGTAAATCCAATTAATCTGTTCCAGACACCCAAAAATATTACCAAAAAAATACATTTTATAGAGAATAACTGTAGTTTTACATACAAACTATGGCATACAAAAACTGAGGTTCCACTGTATACCCAAGGAAACTCATTTATCCCAGCTGTTGCTGTGGTTAGGTTTTACACACTGTTGCTGTCAGTGGTTTTACAAACTGATTCTTTCCTAAAATCTTTCAGATCCTGAATATTATTATGTTTTGTTTCTTGTGAGTGAATACTTAAATGGTGCAATAGATTAGTCTTGTACATAAAGCCTTTAAGACATTTGTAACATTGAAATGGCTTTGCAGTCGCTCTTTTTTTACTAAGGGCATCTTTGCTATGAATTTTCATATGTTTTGTTAAGCATTTTTTTAATTTAAAGCTTTTGGAACACACTGAGCAAGTATGGTGTTTATCTTGGGTGTGTGATACCATGTGTTCTGTTAGTTTGGATTTTACAACAAAGTCTTTAAGGCACTCAGAGCACTTGTATGGTTTAATTCCCGTGTGGAGTTTTTCATGTCTAACCAGAGCCGATTTTAAGGTGAATTTTTTGGAACACACTGAACACTGGTATGGTTTCTCACCAGTGTGAATTTTCATGTGTGTTGTCAGGTGGCTCTGTTGCTTGAAGCCTTTTCCACACATTGAGCACTGGTAAGGCTTTTCTCCTGTATGAATCCTCATATGCTTGCTAAGATTAGTACTGTGTGTGAAGCCTTTTAGACATACCTGGCAATGGTATGAGGCTTCCCCGGTATGTATGATCGTATGTTGACTGAGAGAACCTTTATCTTTGAAGGCCTTTAAGCACACTGAGCACTCATATGGCTTCTCTCCTGTATGAACTATGAGGTGCCTTTTCAAGCCGCTATTTCCTGAAAATAATTTCAGACACACAGGGCAATGAAACCGTTTTTCTTTCAAGTGAAACTTCTGGTGATGTGTCAGTCTGGACTTCGACTTATAAAACTTCAGACACTCAGAACACTGGTATGGTCTCTCCTCCGTGTGAACAAGCTGATGTCTGGTCAGGTGGCAGCTGTGTGCAAAAGATTTTGGACACAGTGAACACTGGTATGGTGTGTAATCTGAATGAACACTCTGGTGCTTCAGGAGGTAAGTGTTAGAGGAGAATGATTTTGGACACAGTGAACATTGGTATGGTGTGTCATCTGAATGAACAATCTGGTGCCTCTGGAGGTAAGTTTTAGTGGAGAATGATTTTGAACACAGTGAACAGGGAAAAGGCTTCTCTTCCTTATCCCTGTTTATGTTCACTTCTACATCAGACATTATTGAACAGTTGTGAACACTAAGACCATGTACAATCCTTGTACATCAAGTAAAACCTGACTTTTGTTCACGACAGCAAATTAATATATGTGTTGTGTACTCACCTACATGGAGTTGCAGGGGTCAAGTCACAGCTCCTGGCCCTGTGTGTAAGCTCTCAGACACAGCACCCTAAAGCATTGTATGGTTTCTGTTATATAACTCCATATTAAAACATTCCCCCCCCAAAAAAAAAAACTTTAGTCACTGACTAATAACAAAGTTCTTCATGAACTTAATCACTAATAACATTGTTCTGCACAAACTTAGTCACTAATTACACTGCTCTTCTTGAACTCAGTCACTAATAGCATTGTTATTCATGAACTTAGTCACTGACTAATAACAATGTTCTTCATGAACATTCACAATACCAATAATCTTCATAACATGCAATATTGGAATAATTTTTTATCTATTGTCCAAAGCATGTTTTACATTCAATATATTTTGACAATATCATTATTTTCAACTTTACTGGACACCAGATGAACTTTAAGTTCTAATCAACTTATCATTAATAATAATAATAATAATATGATAAATAAGACATGTATTAGCTCAGACATGTATTAGCTCAGACATATATTAGCTCATATATATATATATGAATGTGCTAAACTGGGATAATAAAGGAATGAGGAAATAATTCCTTGAAATACAAAGTTCTCACAACAAATTAATTATTTTTATACAACCATCTATCAAGTTTTAAATACGGTACTGATTCAAACAGCAATATAAATTTCCATTTATAAAACTTGAACTTTGTTGCTGCCTGTTCAGTGTTCCTCGTGAACAATAAAGTGATTTTGCCGAATGTGAAAAATTAAGATCAGTGAATTTAATCACTGAAGAAGGTTGAACTTAGTCAGGAACTTGAGATGACCTTTATAACACTACATGTAAAATATTTCTGACAGTGTGGTGAACTTTTTTGGAGCTTCCTGTTGATAACACTGACTGTCAGCAGTGTATGCTGCTGAACTTACACTGTGATAACACTGACTGTCAGCAGTGCATGCTGCTGAACTTACACTGTGATAACACTGTCAGCAGTGTATGCTGCTGAACTTACACTATGATAACACTGACTGTCAACAGTGCATGCTGCTGAACTTACACTGTGATAACACTGTCAGCAGTGTATGCTGCTGAACTTACACTGTGATAACACTGACTGTCAACAGTGCATGCTGCTGAACTTACACTGTGATAACACTGTCAACAGTGCATGCTGCTGAACTTACACTGTGATAACACTGTCAACAGTGCATGCTGCTGAACTTACACTGTGATAACACTGTCAGCAGTGCATGCTGCTGAACTTACACTGTGATAACACTGTCAGCAGTGTATGCTGCTGAACCTAGAGTGTGATAACACTGACTGTTAGCAGTGTATTCTGCTGAACTTGCATTGTAAAAGATCTGTAAAAGAAAAAAATATATCAAGGTAGATATACCAGGCAATATTATAATGACAGTATATGAAGGTAGATATAACAAACAATATTATAATAGAAGTATATCAAGACAGATCTATTAGGCAATATTATAATGGAAGTACAGTAGGGCCCCACTTATATGGCAGGTTAGGTTCCAGGATACCACCAGAAAGCAAAATGCCATTTTTTCCACTTATAAATGCCAGAAAACAAGTTTACACTAACATATATTAAGTTACCAATAGAACTGGGCATTAAAAACAATAAAAAGTAAACTACACATACAGTACACTCATTATTTACCTCAAAAATATTTGTAGTCTTAATGTAGGGCAAAAGGTGAGTAGTATTTATTATAAGAAGTCATGTGTGGTATGTATGGTAGCCCTCCTGGCCACCCTACCCACACATAATATACTGCCATGTTTAAAGTGCCCTAGATTGATAAAATACATATACAGTACACTCATTACTTACCTTAAAATATTTGTAGTCTTAATGGTCTTAATGGAGGGTGAGAGGTGAAAGTATATATTTGTTGAAAGTCAGGTGAGGGAGGTATGGTAGCCCACGTAGGCACCCCACCTGCACGTAATATACTACGACATTTAACCCTTAAACTGTCCAAACATAGGTCTACGCTTGCATGCGTAGCACTCTGAACGTAGATCTTTTTTTTTTTACATAAGAGCCAATGTAAAATCGAATGTACGATAGATTACGTTAGGACAGTTTTAACGTCCAAACGTATACATACGTTCTTATGCGTAGCACCCTAAACGTATATATACGTTTTATTTTTCCTGCCTCCAAATTTGGCACGATTGGCCTGATGCCTGGTCAGCACAGAATTGGTCTTAACACTCGGTGTGCGCAGTATTAAAAAAATCTGGCACCACTTAGTACCTTGTGGGAGCGCCAGTTAAATTGAGCACCAGCTAGAGCAAACAGTGCAGCAAACACCAAGGATTCACTGATGTAATGTCATATTAACACTTCTGTTTTAAGAGGAAAGTGATGGTAACCCCAGGTTTAGGGTCTGTCGATCTCTGTCTATCTGTCTCTATCTGTCTCTGTCTCTATCTCTGTCTTTGTCTATCTGTGTCTGTCTTTGGCTTTGTCTGTCTCACAGGTGCACATAAATACAAATATACATAGTGTAAATTACCTAGGATAACCAAAAAACCCAGACAAAGTGCTATACTCTGCTTGAAGATGTGAGTAAAGGTGATGATGCAGTCTTGTAGCGCTCTCTGAGACAGAGAGCTAGATGGATAGACAGACAGAGAGCTTGACAGACAAATAGACAGACAGAAATGTTTGTGTACCAGCAAAAACAAAGGAGGGGGATGGTCATCTAATCTTTTCTTATCAGCTGCACCCTCCCCCACCCTCGTGTATGCTCATCAAACGTCAGCTCTTATCAGATGTTATTTCTACTTATCATGTCACTGTCAGGGGTGAACTTTGTTTTTCATGCTACAAGGGAACATATTATTACATATTATTATTATTACGTATTATTATTGTTACATATTATTATTATTATTATTCTCCTCCTCCTCCTCCCTTCTCCTTCTCCTCTTCCTCATTATTATATACTTCCACATATCCAAAACATTGCTGGGACATATAAATACTCTGTTTATATTCCAAGACAATAGTAAATGACCAAGGCAGGTGTAAATGTCCACCCGTCAGTGTGTTTATGGCAATTTGAGTACAATTTCAGTATCTAATACTAGTGTCAGAACAAAGATTGGTTATAAAATGACAAGAACTACTACAAATTGTAATTATCAGAACATAAAAATTACATAAAATATGAAAAATAGGAAAAAAGGTATATCGGCAACACTTCTGCAAGCGACAGGACTCGATGTTGCTGTCACATGAGCATCCAGTGCCAACTTCTTGGCTTCATATCTCAGCAAGTACTGACCCTAAAAAAAAATTTTTATTCTAAAATACTTAAAAAAAATTGTGCTCTTTTTTCTATAAAAAAAAAAACGATTTTTTTTTTTCTAAATATTCGGGGCGCTGCACGAGTGAACGTATAAATATGTTTGGACCGTTTATGGGTTAAGGGTTAAAGTGCCCTAGAGTGATAAAATGCTTATACAGTACACTCATTACTTACCTTAAAATATTTATGGTCTTAATTTAGGGTGAGAGGTGAGTAAGCAAGATAAAAATGAATAAGCGAGAGAGAGAATGAGTAAGAGCCGCAGAGTACTATGCAAACAGACAGACACACACGTCTGGTTGTGGTTGATCCATGTTCATACAAACACCTTACATTGAGTACAAGTTGTCTCCTCAGTAGTACAGTAGAATAAATAAAGAGCAACACTTCCATTCTCATGTATCATCATTTTTAGAAGGAATGATGCTCTGACAAGTTAATACAGAAGAATAAACAAACAGCAACACTCCCATCCTCATGCAACATACCATTTTTAAGAGTGAATTATGATATTATTATTATTATCCTAATAAAAAAGAAGCGCTAAACCCACAGGGGTCGGGAATAGCTAAAGACAGAGTGAAGGCATATGAAAGGAATATTTTTCTACAGTTATCCCTCAGTAACTGGTACATATTTGACTAGAGAAAACGTAATTCTTCTGACACTCCTACAAACCGCTTGGTAAACACACCTCATATTTATGTCAATTTTTATACTGTGGGTGTATGTATCATGTTTGTGTGTTATGTAACATGCTTCTTGTATAATTTTGAAAAAAAATATCATAGATGGATTAATGGAAATGCCTATACAGTGCAACCTCGATTTACGAGTGCCCCAACATGTGAGTTTTTCAAGATATGAGCAGTCACTCGGTTGATTTTTTGCTTCTGGATATAAGCGCACTATCAAGATGCGAGCGGGCCTCAAGGGAGGCTCCTTGATGCTGGCGAGGGGCTCTTGCACTTGATCTAGGGAACTGGATCTCAGTTGCTTGTTGGATTATCTTACTGAAACTCGGGCAATGTATAATGGAAAGATGCTTCTTAACGTACACCAAATTTGAAAAAAAATCAGACCATAAATAATAGAGTTCATTTCTCAGCCATTAGCCACCCCTTAGCAATATATTTTCTTATGGTTTTTTGGTTTTTATGGTTTTAGTCTCATTTTTTTGGTCTCATTTGATAGAATGGAAGATATACAGAGGACTGTCATTTAGAACAAGTTCATTTGGCACGATTTGGGTATAGCACGATTGAAGAATTGCAGCACAATTTTATGTAACACGTCATAAGATGAATTCAACACGGTTCAGTTTGCAGGAAGGAAAAAACTTCCCTTTTCCTCAAGCGGCTGCCTTGTTGTGGATCGGCGGGGAAGACGTCCCACCATCCCCAGCCACCCCACGACACCACCCCACCATCCCAGCCCTCGTACTTCATACGTGTCCAGCTCAACTTCTCTGCTACAAGCTTGTGATTGTGAATTGTGTTTTGATCTTTTAATTGCTGTATCTTGTATCTGCCAAGCAATCATGACACCCAGTAGGCATACCAGTGTTGCTCAAAGTGGCAAGAAAAGGTGTAAGCATTTAAGCCTTAGAATTAATGAAGGAAACAAAGAAATTAGACAAGACATAACCTGTGGCCTTAACCCTTTCAGGGTCCATGGCATAGATCTACGGCTTTATGTTGAGGGTCCAAACCGTAGATCTACGCCAAAATTCTAGTGGCATCAAATTTAGTGCAAGAAAGCTGGTAGGTCTACATCTGACAGAATGGGTCTGGGTGGTCAGTGTGCGCACTATAGAAAAAATCTGGACGCCTGTATGGCATTGTGGGAACCCCGCCAAAATGCTTTGTTCATCATGCCTGGCGGCAAGGAAGCTCTCACTCCCCACTCACTCTCCTGGCGAATTCTGACTCTCCTCTTCACAACTTACAGTTCTAAGACTGATGGAAGTAGATCTGAAGAGGAATTCTATGGTTTTGAACCACCTAGCAGCAAATAGGTACCTGAGTGTTAGTCGACTGGTGTGAGTCGCATCCTGGGGGACAAGATTAAGGACCCCAATGGAAATAAGTTAGACAGTCCTCGATGACGCACCGACTTTCTTGGGTTATCCTGGGTGGCTAACCCTCCAGGGTTAAAAATCCGAACGAAATCTTATCTTATGGTACAATGGTGCCATGTCATACAATGGTATCATATGGTACAATGGTACCATATGATACAATGTACCATATGGGCCAGCCGGTCAGCCGGCCAGCCGGCCAGCCAGCCAGCCAGCCCGCCCGTCTGCCCATCCGCCCGCCCGCCGGCCAGCCTGCCCTCCAGAGTTGATGATAGCGAAATATTCAAGGAGTATTTTGTCCAGTCTCCAGACAAACTCTCGCCTGCCGCCGCCACACATATAATGACATATTTTATTAATTCTAGAGAATATATTTGTTTCTATGTTATTTATATTGTTTATGTCATATTAGATGAACTGCGATAGATAAAGAAGCCGTAGAGATGATAGCGAAATATTCAAGGAGTATTTTGTCCTGTCTCAGACAAACACTCGTCGGCCGCTGCCGCCGTCACATACATAATGACATTTTATTCATTCTAGAGTATATATCAGGTTTCTAAGTTATTTATATTGCTTGTTATGTCTTATTTGATGAACTGTGATAGATAAATAAGCCGTATAGATGATATTAGTGAAATTATTCAATAAGTATTTTGTCCTGTCTCCAGACAAACTTGTCCACCGCCGAAACTGCCCATACCACTACATGACTTATTTTATTCATTTTATAGTATATATCAGGTTTCTATGGTTTTTAATGCCGGAAAAAAAATCCCCCCCCCAGTACCAACAATACCACCAGTCCGATGACATTCTTCTTTGCAAATATACAGGGTCTAAAGCCAGCAACAAACAACAAAATACCTTTCATCCGTGGACTGCTTGCAGAGGCAAAGGCAATGTTCGCGGCTTTCACCGAGACCCACATAAAGGA